TCAAACCTTGCCAAGATCGATTTTATTGCACTAGATATTTTTGGCAAGAACTATCTAACGTGGGTTCTGGATGCGGAAATCCACTTGCATGCGAATAACCTGGGAAATACCATCAGGGAAGGAAATCAAGCATCCCTGCAGGATCGCGCAAAGGGAATGATTTTCCTTCGTCGGCATCTTCATGAAGGATTAAAAACTGAATATCTTGGGGTGAAGGATCCAGCAATGCTCTAGAAAAATTTGGAAGAAAGATATTACCACCAAAAGAGCATAATACTTCCAAAGGCTCGATGTGATTGGATGCATCTGCGTTTGCATGATTTCAAATATGTAAATGAGTACAATTCAGCACTGTTTAAAATTGTATCTCAATTAACCTTGTGTGGAGACAAAATTACAGATATATGCTGGAAAAGACATTCACTACTTTTCATGCATCCAACATGCTCTTGCAGCAGCAATACAGAGAAAGGGGGTTTAAGAAATATTCCAAACTGATTTAATGTCTTCTTGTTGCAGAACAAAATAATGAACTTTTAATGAAAAATAATGAACAAAATAACAAGAATACACAAAATAACAAGAATAATGAACAAAATAATGAAAGGGGGTTTAAGGCATTACAAGTTCATTATTTTGTTCATTATTTTTCATTCAAAGTTCATTATTTTGTTCAGCAACAAGAATACATGAAATCAGTTGGGAATATTTCTTAAACCCCCTTTCTCTGTATTGCTGCTGTAGGAGCATGTTGGATGCATGAAAAGTAGTGGATGTCTTTTCCAGTATATCTTCATCTGTAATTTTGTCTCCACACAAGGTTAATTGAGATATAATTTTAAACAGTGCTGAATTATACTCATTTACAAATTTGAAATCCTGCAAACACAGATGCATCCAATCATATTGAGCCTTTGGAAGTATTATGCTGTTTTGGTGGTCATATCTTTCTTCCAAATTTTTCCAGGGCATTGCTGGATCCTTCACCCCAAGATATTCAATTTTTAATCCTTCATGAAGATGCCGAGGAAGGAAAATCATTGCCTTTGCCCGATCCTGCAGGGATGGTTGATTTCCTTCCCTGATGGTATTTTCCAGATTATTCGCATGCAAGTGGATTTCCGGATCCAGAACCCACTTTAGATAATTCTTGCCAGAAATATCTAGTACAATAAAATCGATCTTGGCAAGGTTTGACATTGTTGTGTATCTATAAAATAACAGTATGAATTAATAATATAAATGCTCAAGATTATGTATTTGAAGCTACATATCAAATTTAATAAATTTTAAGACTTTTGGCTCTTTGGATTATCATATCATTTAGAACTTCTGGTTCTAATTTATTTTGAATTTAAACTTCAGGTTTTCATTCAACAAATTCATTTCTTATAAAGTATTTATGATATTACAATTATCATTTTGGTTTGGAACTTCGGGTTCCAAATGTGTTGATCTATGAACTTCGGGTTCATGTATAATAAGGAAACTTTATTACAGAAAAATAATATATATATATATATATATAAACTTTAGGTATTAAACTTATGCATATATTCAAAAGGGAATAAGTATTATATATATTAGATAAATACCCTGCACAAAAGTTAGATAATATAGAAGATTCATGTGTTGACATAGCTTCCTCCTGTTTCAATTAATATGTGTATAGCTACATCTAAATGAAACTTGGTTAGTAAAAATAGTACTTAAATTACAGAATATGAATTTAGAGAGAAGCGAATTATACCGAGTTCAACCAAGATCCTGGGGTGGTTAGAGACTCGTGCTGATAACGTGTTATAAAACTAAGGGAGTTAAGAGATAATTAAAGAGGAAGAGAATAACCATAGAATTTCTCTTCTTAAGCTTGTATATTTCATCTTCATTGAGTGCCTATTTATAGACAGCTAGAATTGGCAATTACAAATATAATATAGTGAGTAATTGGGAGGGTGAGTCATATGGTAGGTATAGTTGGATATGATGTGACATACATTAGGTATACTAAAGCATAGTGGGCATCCATTACATTTAGTTTATAACAAATACCTATAATTGATGTATTTATTTGAGCTCGTGGAAAATGTAGTGGAAAAGTGATTGTGATATTGGTCCAATCAGATTTAGATCATCTCCTCTCTTGTGAATTCAAGCTCTCATGGAATTATTGAGGTGACGGCTCCTCCATTAAAACATGTTTTAGTGGAAATTGGACAAACCAAGCATTAGAATGGGAATAAGAAATGCAAATAAATGTTTTTTAAATGACGTTTTCTATTGAAAGGGGCGATAATAATACTATTACTAAATTCACACACACTACATGGATGTTAGGACCCGAACCAAGACCTTACTTGGAGGAGCAATTGTTCCAAACTATTACACTAGTGGGTCCTTTACAAAATACAAATAAATGTGAGTTAATGTGTTAAATTTCTTTCAGAAAATTTTAAAAACTATTAAATATTAATAAAAAAAGAAATTCAATTTAAAAATAAATAAATAAGAACTAAACAAATAAAATTAAGATCTAATTAAAAAAAACCCAAAGACACCGCAATCAAATCTTGGCCACCTCCTCCTCGCCTATCTTAGCCGCCAATGCCATCACCCTTCTCTCTTCTAAAATGCTTGTAGGACTTCGCTGTTAAAGCACAAACATTTACACATTCAGTGTTCACATCAAATTACGCTAACGCAATATGATTGTCAATACAAAATGAAAATAATGCACACAACTCATTCAACACATTTGTCTATGCGTATAATACATAACAATAAACACTTCATCTTTCCCAATTTTATCTCTCACCTATCGTGAAAATTACCAGCTTTATCCTATAACTTGGGCCAGTTGAATAGAGCAGTAAGCTGATCGTTTGATAGATTAAATTAATTTAAAGTAATTTAAATTAGAGTAATGCTATTTGGACACACAACATTGACACACTTAGTGATTGGACAGAGCAGTAAGCTCACAGTTTAGTATATTACATTAATTTAGAGTAATTTAAATTATTATTTATATTAAAATAAAAACAAAAAATGAAAGTTCTTCCGGAATCGAAGTATCATTCCCACTTTTTTTGAAGAATGAATCAATAGTTTTTCCTCTCTTTGTCAATCTACTATTATCATCATTTGACATTATGTCCAAACAAGAAATAATACTATAAAGATAGAGAAGTAAATAATGCTAACGCAATCAGCAATCCAAAATATGCAATCCAAACTGCACAAAGGAAAAGATGTAATAGTTTTATATTGCATTGCATTTGCATCTACTGCCATACCATCAAGAACTATAGGTAACATACGCCAAAATTTCAATATAAAAAAATCAATAAGATTATTCTACCTGAAGAGTGTATTGCAACCTTTGGTAGAATTCCAATTTCAAATTTCCTTAATTTCTCAATACCTGTAGAAATACATATAAACCTAAATATTAATTTAAAATGACATTTTATCATTTACCAAATGCTCCATAAACACATAGATTGAATTTTGAAATGAAAACTACAATGAAGTTTACCTCTTGAGAGGAAATCAGTATCGGCTCATTCATTATCAAGTTCAAAGAGATTTAATGACAGGTTTTCGATGGCCAAGACCAACCAAGAGAAAACGAAAACAGAGGCTTGATTGATTGATGTTAAGCCAAAGAAGAGAGCTGAAGGTTAATAGGGAAAAGAGAAGAATGTTTGTGCGATGGGAGAAGAGATATACCAATATGTTGTTTTTTATTAGCTTATTATATTAGAGACAACATGGAATGTGATGAGCTTTATTTGTTGTTTTTGTCAAACTAATATTAAACAAGAGAAAAAGCACAAGACAAGGAGACATGTCGGCTGACATTAGCTAGGGATGATGGGCTAATATTTTTGGGAGTGAAAATAACCGTATAAAATCTGTATAAAATCTGCACTCAGTTTAATATTTTACAATTTTTGCACTGGGCTAGAGCCCACCCCAGCCTATACACAGTTCCGTCCTTTTGAGTGAGAATTTAGGAGAGTATAGATAGAGAGAACCATAGCAATGTTCTCTCGGTTTCTTCTTCTAGATTTCTTTGTGCAATTTATATATTGCATGGCACATTAATCTTTTAGGATTTGTTCTTTTGTATTCTTCAGGAAATTGCTTCTGGCGATATGTTTCAGACACTTCGTAATCTTTATAGATTTTTCATCTCAAATTCCTTTATTAAATCAGGGGAAGCCTTTGTAAACTCTTCAAGAGTTCTAACAAAATTCTTCATATATATATATATACTGCAATGATGGTAAACTCATTTCCAAAATTTGGATTATTTATATATCCTTTTTCTAATAGATATTCATTAAGATGATTATACCATATTCTTTCACAATACTTTAATCAACACAAGGATCATTACAAGCCATCATATTTTTAAATAATTTGCTTTAGGCATTTTGAATTCTTCAGGAATTTTCATACACATGAATTTTTCATAAATATGCATAACATAGCTGCATATGTTTACCATCATAATCCCATGTCTTTTACTGGGAAACATTGTGCCATATCATCCAGTGATTTATTTCACTTCATCTCAAACACCAATTTACAACATATACATTTTCATATCATTTTGGTGTTTTAAACTATAGGTTCAATCATTGCACTTTTTTCGGAAATTTTCAACTTTACTGGACTGCCTCTTCCAGTTGGCCAATCTTTATTTACATTTGTCAGTTACCGAAATCAAGTAAGTTATTTAAATAAGAAAAACACACCACACCACTAGCAGTGGAATAATCATGATGGAAAAGGAAAAGGGAAAGTTATGTATAATTCCCAAAGGAAAAATGATGATGCTTGTTACAGCTGTGGAATGAAAGGACACTGGTCCTGTACATGCCGTACACCAAAACATCTTGTTAATCTATTGTTCGGTTCATTTTTACACATGATTTTTCATGTTATTCACCTATTATTTTGAGTTAGTTCTTGACATTTTATAGCTT